GGTGGTTTTCAAAATGTGGCTCTCGCCTTAGCGCGGCGCGCATTCGCTTTAAACAGTTGCAAGAGTTTCACGCGTTGAGGGCGGGTGGTTTTCAAAATGTGGCTCTCGCCTTAGCGCGGTGCATACTCTTTTCAAACAGTTGCAAGAGTTTCACGTGTTGAGGGCGGGTGGTTTTCAAAATGTGGCTCTCGCCTTAGCGCGGCGCGCATTCTTGTTAAACATGTGCAATCGTTTCACGTGTTGAGGGCGGGTGGTTTTCAGCATGTGGTTCTCGCCTTAGCGCCGCGCATATGCGCTTACAAGGATTCCCATCATCAGCGTACCACAAATGGTTCAGGATTATGCGGGTGCAACAGTTAAGTTTGTTCTCTGTGTTGAATTTCTACGAGTGGCCTTCTGGCAAGATTCGGGATCGTCAAGACGCAACAGTCAGGTTGATTCGTGGCGTTAGAATGCCGAGAACAATGTTTTGGCATGCTTCTTCCAACGAGGCGGTTCCATCAATTGAAATGAACGGTTGTAGGGGCCTATGAAGAGGGAGCTTGGAGTGAGGGTTTACTCCACTATCATTGATGGCTCTTGGGTTTACACTGGTCCTCCTCCTCCTCCTCCTCCTCCTCCTCACTCCTCCCCTCCTCCTCCTCCTCCGCTTCCTCCTCCTCACTCCTGCTTCTCCTCCTCGCCCCCTGGCTGGGCGTGGCATGGCTAGCGCTTCGGCGAAGGTGCCGCGGCCGCATTGCAAGTCAACGTCTCGCTCCTCCCGCTCCCGCTCTGCACTGCATGCGCTGCGACGCGACGCCAATGAGCTCCCACATCCGCACGACCGCGTCCCGCTCATGTTGCGCCTGCTTTCTATCTGCAACGCTCTTTGTCGTACTCACGGCTCCTAATTGCCTCATCCCGTCCTTCCCTCTTTGTCGTCTTTCGTCGTCCTCCCTCGCCCTATCCGGTTTCGCGCTCTCACAGGCGGGCGCTGCAAGCGACAAACAGAGGGTGTCCAAGCTTGCCCCTCCCGGAAACAAACCTGCGTGTCATATTCAAGGCGCGAGGTCTTGCCTGCAGTCTTCTCGAGTGCCTCAGCTGCGCCTGCGCCTCCAGTCGTCCTGTTCGCCGAGCGGGCGCGCATCGCTGGGGGTTCTTGTACGGTTCTTAGTGGTAGTTTTTTTTTGTTTTTTTTTTTTTGTTTTTTGTTTTTTCTTTATGTTATTAAAAAAGCAAAAAATAATCATCACCACCATCACCTCCGTCACCATCATCATCATCATCATCATCACCACCATCACCATTATCATCATCACCATCATCATGCTCATCCTCATCCTCATCCTCATCACCATCACCATCACCATCACCATCACCATCACCACCACCACCACCATCACCACCATCATCATCAGCATCACCATCACCATCATCATTATCATTATCATTATCATTATCATCATCATCACCATCATCACTATCATCATCATCATCATCATCACCACCATCATCATCATCATCATCATCATCACCATCAGCATCAGCATCAGCATCAGCATCAGCATCAGCATCAGCATCATCATCATCATCACCATCAGCATTATCATCATCATCATCATCATCATCATCATCATCATCATCATCATCATCATCATCATCATCATCATCATCATCTTACTCATCATCAGTATCATCTGGCGCGTAACGGTCGTTACCATGGCCAACTTCTCCCCCCAGATAGCGGTAACGATCGAGCGTTGGGGGGGGTGGCCCTAGACCCCCCACATGTTGGTGCTCGCGCGCAGAGTGTGGCGATCGCAGCACGCCCCCGCCCCGACGTGCCCCGTCCCGCCCGAGCGCTACTGCTGCCCGGGGCCTCAGCTTCCCACGCGGGTACCGAACGTTACCGTAAATGGGGAGGAGGGGGGGGATGATGATGATGAGGAGGAGGAGGAGGAGGTTGAGAAGGTGGAGGAGGAGGAGGTGGAGGAGGAGGAGGAGGAGGGGGAGGAGGAGGAGGGGAATGATGATGATGAGGAGGATGATGAGGATGATGATGCTGATGATGCTGATGATGCTGATGATGCTGATGATGGTGACGATGATGATGCTGATGCTGATGTGATGCTGATGATGATGATGCTGATGCTGCTGATGATGATGATAATGCTGCTGCTGATGATGATGATGCTGCTGATGATGCTGATGATGATGATGCTGATGATGATGCTGATGATGATGATGATGATGATGATGATGATGATGATGATGATGATGATGATGATGATGATGATGATGATGCTGATGATGATGATGATGATGATGATGATGATGATGATGATGATGATGATGATGATGATGATGATGATGATGATGAGGAGGAGGAGGAGGAGGAGGAGGAGGAGGAGGAGGAGGAGGAGGTTGAAAAGGGGCAGGAGGAGGGAGGAGGAGGAGGAGGAGGAGGAGGAGGAGGAGGAGGAGAAGGAGTGGAAGGAGACGCGCGAGCAGTGCTCTATTCAGACCGAGTGCCCAGCCAGAGGAGGGCTGGGGAAAACACGGTGGGGGGTCCACGTGCGGCTCTGAGCGGCAAGCCGCCTGGACCCCGCGCAGCCGCTGCCGCGGCTCTGCCGCCTGCATTCTTTTCGAGCGCCTCGGCGCTCCTGCGGCGTCGGCGGGAGCGCAAGGCCCTCCTCGCCACCTGACATCCGCCGCCGAGGAGCTCTTCTGCAGACATCTCCAGGGGCTGTGCCCTCCTCCTCGCTCCTCCTCGCTCTTCCTCGCTCTTCCTCGCTCCTCCTCGCTCCTCCTCGCTCCCCCTCGCTCCTCGCTCCTCCTCGCTCCTCCTGGCTCCTGCTCGCTCCTCGCTCCTGCTCGCTCCTCGCTCCTGCTCGCTCCTCGCTCCTCGCTCCTCCTCAGTCCTCGCTCCTCCTCGCTCCCCCTGGCTCCTGCTGGCTCCTCCAGCGTGCGCTCCTCCTGGGGCGGCCGCGGAGACCGCGCGCGCGTGCGGACGCCGCGGCAGGTCGTCACGAACGAGGACGGCGGCGACATCTGCGGGCTGCTGGGCGCCTCGCCCGGAGGCGCGGCCTGGGCTCCCCCTCGCCGTGGTGGCATCCCCGCCCCCTCCTCTCCGAGGAGCGGGGACTTTTGTAGCCGTGACCGCCGCCCGTGGGATCGATCTTCGCGGACCTCCAGTGGATATGGATATGGATTTTGGGGTATGTGTATAGCTATATATATACATAGATGTATGGGTATGGATTTGGGTATGGGTATGGATATGGGTATGGGTCTATATGTGTATGGGTACGGATATGGGTATGGGTATGTATGGGTATGGATCTGGGTATGGATAGAGGTATGGATTTGGGGTATGGATATGGGTATGGATCTATAGATATATGTGTGTATATTCACATGATTATATATATATATATGTATATTCGGGCGCCATGGGGTGCAAGCTGTATCCATGTCCACCCCTCGCAAGTGCACCAGGACGTTGGGTCCCAGACGGTAGATCTGGACACATCCCCGCCTCGCCCCGCTTGGCGACGGGGCCTGTCCACGCCTGCTGCCCCGGGATCCTGGCACATCTGGGGCCCGGGAGCGGTGCAGAAAGAGCCCTCCCGGCTCGGCCAGGGAGGCGTGCACACCGCTCTTGGGCCGAGGATGGGCCAGGGCTGGGGCAGCGTTCAGTCGGGCATGTCCCTCTACAGGAGGGGAATTCAAAACTAGTCAAACAGCTAGTATGGGGACGCGTTTCCGAGTACTCATTTGACCATTTTGGGGCATTGCTTTAACTTTTTCTTGGTCCGTCCACAATCCGCCTGTGGGAGGACGTGCCCGACCTATGGGGCAGCGAATGAGTGCAGATCTCGTTGCCCCATCCTTGGGGGAGGAAGGGGCGGGGGGAGGGAGGGGCGCGAGGATGCAGGGCCCACAGGCGCCAGCTCGTCGCCCGCCAGCGTTCAGAGCAGAGGCGATCCAGGCCTCCCAACTGGGGTCGAAGCAGATGGGGCCAGAGGATCGCGCCGCATCGCCGATGCATCGGCGGCACGGCTCGATGTGGAGCCTGGTTTTCCCCGCACGCCGACGGTGCCGATGCATCGCCGACGTCGCTGGTGCATGGCCGATCGGCGATGTGTTGGCGATGCGGCTCGATCCTCCGACCCCATCTGCTGGGACCCCATTCGTGAGGGCCTCCAGGCATCCCATCCCCGGGAGAGGAAGGGGGGTGGGTGGGTGGACAGCACAACCCACCCCCACCCCCAACCAGGACCGCCACTCCCGACCTGGTGATCCAAGAGGTCCTGGCTGCGGGTGGCGTGTGTGGGGGGTCTTCTGGTTCCCCCAAGAGATCCCTCCCGCCCCACCCCCGACCCCAGCCAGGACCCCCTGGATCACCACAGGTAGGGAGCCCTGAGATCCGACGTCGCCAACAAAAATTGAGACGCCGTGTAAAATCGCGCCCGGAGCCCTGGGCCCAATCTTCCGGCGCCATTCTTCGAGGCGGACCGATCTGTGAGGGCCCTCGTGCCCGAGAACCGACGACACCGCCGGGCCCGAAAAATCCGAGACGCCAGGATCTCAGGGAGTGCGCCTCCTGGCCAGGGGGGGGGAGGCTGGGCTGTCCTGCCCTCGCGCCAGGGTTAAATCGGGCATGCCCCCCTACAGGAGGCATGTTCGATAATGGTCAAAGCACGGTCTGGGGACGATTTTCTGAATATCTCTTGAGTCTTTTTTTGACTATTCTGAATTTCTCGTCCAAAATCCGCCTGTAGGGGGACAGTGGTTTTGTGAACGCAACTGAAGCAGGAAGCGAGCTACACAGTCCGAGCATTTGCTTGCAGATGTAGCAGGTCATGGCGCGTCGGCCTGTCAAATTCTCAGGTCCTCAGCTGCAGTACTAGCAGGCCCGACCTAACACCAGGGGGCCCCCGGGCGCGGAGGCGCCGGCGAGGCGTCGCCCGCCGGCGCCTCCGCGGGCAGAGGAGCGCCGCCGCGGCTTCCAGCGAGGGCACGCCGCGCAGCCTCCGGGGGGGGGGAAGACGAAGAGGGGGGGGGGGCTCAAGGCTTCGGGCGCCGAGCCTCGAGGAATGGAGGGGGAGGGGGGTGGGAGGGGGGAGGGAGGGAGGGGGGGAGGCAAGCTAGGTGCGCTCACGTCATATCTGACGTCCTACCCCTCCCACCCATCCCTTACCATGGCGCTGTTTTTCTCTATCCGCGGACGCGTGTCGTAGCGGACCTGTGGCTCCGCGCGCGCGTGCGTAGTGGGTGGTGGTGCGCGTGCGTGCGTGCGTGCGTGTGTGCGTGGTTGTGTGGTGGTGGTGGTGGTGGTGGGTGGTGGTGGTGTGGTGGTGGTGTGGTGTGGTGGTGGTGGTGCTGGTGGTGGTGGTGGTGGTGCTGGTGTGGTGGTGTTGGTGGTGCTGTGGTGGTGGTGGTGTGGTGCTGGTGGTGGTTGTGGTGGTGGTGGTGGTGGTGGTGGTGGTGGTGGCGGTGCGGCGCGGTGGTGGCGGGCGGATGGGCGCGCGAGAAAAAGGCCCGCGCTGGGGCGAGAACGCCATCCTGAACGACGGAGGCCAAGCACCGATCCGAAAATGAGGCCCACGCTGCAGCGGGAGCACGATTCGGAACGATTCGGGAGCAGAAATGAGGCCGGCGCCTCAGCGAGAGCAGCATTTTGAAAAAAACACAAGCGAAAACCCGTTTCCCGGGAATCCTGTGTGTAAAAAAACAATACGCGGGGGGGTGTCGGATATCTTCGGGACGCCATCAGGGGAAGTGGGAGAGTATTTTCATATTGTGTAATTGTGGGGGGGAGGGGAGGGGAGGGAGGGGGAGGTGGGAGGGAGGGGTTGGGGGGGGAGGGGAGGGAGGGAGGGAGGAGGACAGCCCTCGCGCACAGTGAGGACGAGCGCCTCTCCAAGGTTGCCCCTGCATCCCTTCCCCGTCGGCCCATCCTTGGCCACTCTCGCTGGCCGCGCCCCTTCCAAGGCCCTGGCATCCTTTTCCTGCCTCCTTGTTTCTACTCGTTGACGGTCGGGAAGTTCTGGGGGAAGGGGTCGGGGGGGCAGGGGGGCAGGGGGGGCATGGGGGCGGGGGGGGGCAGGGTGGCAGGGTGGCAGGGGGGCAGGAGTGGGGGGAGCGGCGGGAGGAGGGATGGAGAGCAGGAGCGGGGAGCAGAAGGAGTCTGGTGGAGGGCTGCAAGCAGTGCGCACGCTGGGTGCGAGGGTGGCCTGGCCACCCCAGGACGTGGCTGGAAGCCAACGCCTGACGCAGCCATGACCGTCAAGGGAATAGTGTTTGGCCGCGGGCGGCGGCGCAGCCGGATGCCCCCGACTCCCTCGGACAGCACCGTCGCGAGGGAGCCTGAATGGGAGGCTCACGCGGCAGCACCTCAGATCCGAGACACCCTGCCTGACAACCCCTCCTCTCTGCAAGCTCTCGCGAGGCCGCAGAGACTGGACGGCCTCGGCCTGCACCGAACGGAAAGTCGCCTCGAGGTCCGCCTCGGGTGGGCCCTTCCCTCCTCGGGCACAGCCCCCCGGCAACCCTTGACATGCTCTCCTTGCCCCTGGCGGTCTCGCAAGGGCCAGGGCGCTCCGAGTGCCGAAGATCAGCGCCGCCCTGTCGGCGACGCCTGCGGCGGTGCTGCGCCGTGCAGAAGGACCTCCCTCACCCGCCCATCTTGTGAGTGTGGTGTCGCAGGCCTAGAGGTTGACACCAACGCCAAGATCGGCGGTGATGTTGGTAGTCTTCTGGCTTCTTCGGCGGCCGCAAGATTCCTGCCGACACCGAACTCTAGGCTCGGCTTTCCCTGGTGGAGGCAACCCCTTTTGGCGCTGGTGTCGGGGGCCCCCAAACGGGGTGGTGACCACACCGTGCGGTGAGTCTGTGGGGGTCCGGGGTCACTGCACGGTTTTGGGACTCGAGACGTTCTCCGAGGACGTCTCGGGCGACAGGGGCCTCCAGGGTCCCAGGACAGTGCGGCGACGGACCGTGCGGTGAGTTTTTGGGTGGTTTCGAGGTCACCGCACGGCTCGTCACCGCACCGTTTCGGGACTCCAAATGGTGCCCCTGTGTCAAGGGGCCTAAGGACACACAAATAAATAGACACAAATAACAGGATTCCCCATATTTTCCCATATTTTCCGGGTTTTTGTCTTCCCCCTCACTTCCCATATCTTCCCATACTTCCGGGGAGATCGACGATTCATTGTGTCTGTGTGTTTTTCCCCTTCCTGACTGTGCCCCTTTCCAAGCCTCCGGTGGGCCTCCGCGCCAGCTCCCTGCACGGCGTTTTTGCTCCCACTCGGGCCCTGGGCCTCCTCGGCCACTGCCGAGGAGGCCCCGGCACGCCCCGCGCAGGGCGCGCCGCCTGCCAGGGCAGCACCGCGCCAGGCCTGCACACGAGCTGCCGGCGCTGCGCTGCGCTGCGAATTGGCCTCGACTTCTCGAGGCGGGTGGCCCGTGATCTGCGGGCCCCAAGAATATACACCATCACCACGTCGATTCCTC